AGTTATTATTTTCCAACTGTGTAGCTTAGTGTGTGTTCACTCTGTAACTGTGTAGGGTTAGCATCCAGAGACGCTCTAGCTTATCTGTAGCCCAGAACTCTGTGAGTAACAATATTGTAAGGATATGTTCAATAATGATTATCTTCTAAGCAATTGAACTGTACTGTTTTCTGAAATGATACTGTTACTGAATAAATGATGTCCTATTTGTGAACTGTATTCGTGGCATCCATAGCAACCTACTGTTACTGTGCTGTACTGCTACTATCACAGAGATCTCTGTCGGTTCCCATGTTGGAACCACTATTGTTTACTGATACGATGGCCATCATTGACTGTTCGGCCTGTTAAGACCTACTGTACTGTTTTGCTATTGGATGTACCACATATGACTATTATAGTTTTTGAATGACTATTGTGGCATGAAATATGAGCCACAAACTGAACGACTGTTATATTGATAACTAACTGTTTTCAATACTGAAAGGACATTCATTCTTAACCTCTTTACGCATATATTATTCACTGGGCTTTAGCTCACTGCTCATATATATATGTAGGTGTACAGGCACCGGACTGTGGCTAGAAGCGTCAGGGTAAACTCCAGTTTTGTTGAGCCAACCACTGTGCCTCACTGAGAGGTTCCAAGTCCTTCAAGCTAGGGCTTTTGGGGTGTTTTAGTTTCCCCCTTTTTGTATCTATTTTGTAATTATTGTATAGACTGAATGATATCATATTGTACTGTTATGGTAGGGATCCGGTCTCTAACCTGAATATCTGTATATGATGTATGTATGTACTGTTTTGTTCTGAATGTGTATATGATATGAAAAGTCTTTTTGCATGCAGACAGTCACAGCTCATTAGACATCTTTTATTACTGTTTTGGCTTCTGTCAGCCCTTGTACTCTGTATTACTGTCTTACTGTTAAGCAGGCCTTCGGTAATCCCGGATTACTGGCCGGTTACGGTGCTAAACTCATATGGGCGGGTTTGGGTCGTGACAGCTATCAATTACTTCACTTGGGGAAGAATATCCCATGAGCCTATGAAGCACCGAACCTGCTCTTCCCCTTCGTAAGGATTCCTCAATTTTCGAGGATGATTTCTCTGCTTTGGATATTTTCGATGAAGACCCAACTGATGACGCTAAGGTTTTCACAGAATTCTTGTATTTGTTTTGAGACTCTTTGAAGAAAACCTGCTTCTTTCTCTCTTCCATAGGATCTGCTTTTTTCTTTCTTCCATAGGATCAAAAGAACTACTATTTCTTCCATTAGATCTGGGGAATGAGAGGGATGAGGGAACATAGAGTGTTTTTTTGTATCGAGAAGATAGACAGTAGAAGAAAGGAGATGAAAGGAAGGCAGAGCATAGAGATATAGAGGATTGAGAAAAAAAAGTGCTTTTCGAGCCATTTCGAGCCACCCCGTTTCGAGCTACGAAGCAATTTTGATAGAACAATAGAAAAAACTTATGACTAATTGGAGTACTTGTTTATAAGATGAGACTTATTGGTAAATATCCCTTTTTTATTTGGATCTTTAATATTTAAAGTTTTTTTTTTCAATTTACTCTAAAAATTAAATTATATTTAAAATTACGCAAACAAAATATTAACAGTCACGTAATATAAAAATACTTTATTCTATATGACTCATACCCCATACACAAATCCAAACCACAATATTTTACTAGCAACCATTGTTTTGCAATCTGTTGGGACCATTTCAGGGCTCATTTAGATCATTTGAACTGTTCACTTTCTAAATTATATCAAGTAGAATATACTTGAAAAAAATCAAAATCAATAGTCCTTTCATCAAATTACATATGTATTTTAAAAAATGAATGATAAGTATAACTTGAAATATAAAACTAAATACAAATGCGATTTGATGTGATTATCGATATCCAATTAACTTAATTTTTTATACATATATTATACTCGATATACTATAAAAATTAAATAATTCAAATTATCGAAATAGACTCTAAAAAGGCCAAATAAATTTCACAACACCACCCCAAACCCTAAAAATCCCTACTATATTAAATTCTTTTGCAACTCTCCTCCTTTCCAACGATAGTGGCAATAAAGCTACCTAAGAACAAGAAAAATTCTAAAGATTAGATATTAATCATAAGAAATGATTTGTCTCTAGTTGAAATTTTAATTGAAACAGATAGTTGAGATCTCTGACTAGGAAGAGTCATTAAATGGAAGACTTTGATCGGTAAGAGTTATTAAACGAAAGACTCTTAATTTGAAAAAATTCAACTCTTACCGGTAAGAGTCTTCTGTGTAATGACTCTTATCAGTCAAAAACCTCAACTGTCTAATACAGTTCAACTTTCAACTAAAGACAAGCCAAATCCTTAATCATAAGTGATTTCTAGCACAATTTTCGGAGAGATCCAGAACCAATCCATTTCACTTACTTTCATCGTATTGTGTCTCTCTCCGAGAAGGGACAGTTGCAAAGGTGTGATCTATCTATCGATTGTGCTTTGAGTCGTCTCCAACTTCTTTTTCTGGCATTGATTTATGTTTATGCTTAGTTAGGGGATTTGAGAAATGATTTGAAAATAAAAAAGAAAAAAATATGTGAAACTATGTGAAATGTAAATATATTTTATTCAAATTTCACTTATTTTTTCCCTTTCTCTTTCTAAATCTCTTCATAAATCTCTCAACTAAACACAAACTTAATCTTCTCCTCCAATTTGCTTAATAGATCTTACTGTCCGTCTATGGAAAATGTCTCGTAGCTCAAATTCTGTGGCTCAAAAGTGGCTCAAATGGCTAAAACGACGTCGTTTTGGCCATTTTTATGTTGTTCTGTACTCAAAACGACGTCGTTTTGGCCATTTGAGCCACTTTTGAGCCACAAAATTTGAGCTACGTAGCATTGTCGTCCATCTATTTTCTCCAAATCTAGTCCTAGAAACTGCTTTGGATTTATGCAACTATACGTCAGCTTGCAATCTTTAGGGAGTTCGTAGGTGGTATATGGGGCTCTGTCTGTCCTTTTTTTTTTTTAATTTTTTAAAATTTTTTTTTGTAGTGTTTTAAAGTATTTTGTCCATATTTTTTTAGCTTGCGGTTTTCTTGTTTTACTGTTTGAGGTCACTAGTTGGTTTTTGGGTCTACATTAGTGCTTTTGGGGTGGTTTGTTACTATATGTTGAAAATGACTTTTTGCTCAAGTACGTGGGGGCCATTAAGCGGCTCCCAAAGGGAGGAAAAAACGAAGAAAAAGTAAAGGTAAAGCTACAGAAAGAGACTTAAATCAAGACACTTCACAATGCTTGTTACTAATATTGTTAAAATTGGGATCCTACGTTGGATCGTTGGAAATGTTTATAGGATCGGATCGTAAAATCAGATCGAGAATCGTAAGATCTTACCGAAAAAGACAAATTACATAATAATTTAATTTAAATAAATATTTCTTACAAAGTATACACAAAATAAGCTTATATTCTATTAAAAAGAAGTGAAGATATTGTGAAAAATACAATACTCTATGTAAAGTGTACATATAATATTATACAATAGAAAACTCGATGGTAAAAGTTTTGTATTTCATCAAAAAAGAAGGTGAAGAAGAAGAAGAAGAACTCTATAACAAAATACATTACAATCTACAATAATGCATAAAAAGTAAAGAAAAAATATTTAACAAAGTTGGATATGAAAATAGATTAAGAACTCAAAAGAGTAGCTTAATCGAATGATAAGGTTTGTCGTTAGCATCCTTGGTGGAGCGGATTCGAGTCACAAAAATAATCTCTCCAAAAATTGGGATAAAGTTGCAATCATCTTACCCTCCTTAGACTCCGCTAAAGCTAAGTTTGTTTTTCCAACTATTTAATTTTCTTAAATTACCGCAATATTTGAATATTTGTTTCCTAGTTCGTTTTTCTTAGTCTATTTGATTCAATACTATTTAATTTTTATTATTTATTTTGACCACATAAATTGGTATTTAGACAACAAACATAAAATTTACAATAAAATATGTCATACAATACAAAACAAGGCTTGTAAATTGGATCGTGTAGGATCGGATTCGGATCGGGATTCCACGATCCTATAAGATCCCACTACTAGGATCGAAAGATCCTACCTATAAAGACTTTTTTACACGATCCGGATCGATTGTACTCAAATAGATCGTAAGATCGTAGGATCGTAAGATCCGGATCGGGATTCTGATAACCATGCTTGTTACCAGATGATATAGTTTCGGTACCATTAGGGCATGTTTGATTGGAATGATTAAAGTATGGGATTAGGATTATTAATCCGTGGGCCCAATCATCCTATGTTTGTTTTGACATTTTGATTTAGGACTATTAATCTAATGGATAATTAATCCAACAAATTTGTAGGATTATTAGTAATGGAGTAGGGGTGTGATAGTTAATACCACACTAATTTAATAGGATTATTAATACCTCACTATTAATATTGTGAATCAAACATGACCTTAGGGTCATGGTCTCGTGGAGAAGGTAGTCTTCTCTATTGAGGTGCGTCGTGCTTGACTCTTGAAGGGTGCGGAATAGTGACATTGTTCAACTAATTCTCTTTGGAAATCCTACGTTGTGTTCCGATTGATAATTGACTTCTTTTGTAGTACGTAATTGAGTTCTATTGGGTATATCGATAGTGAGTTCCTTCTTTTTAGATTGGATTACATCTGGCCTTCAATCAATTATTTTGGGATCAAAGCTCAAAAATTCTATGATGTCCTTATAAAACATCCTTTTTGTTCTTTGTAAAAACATATATATATATATATATATAATTTCGTTTTCCTCCCTAATTGAAATTGCTCTTATCAATAATACATTAAACGATGATTTCCACTTTAATTGGGAAAATGCAGCACGGACTATTAGAAATATGGATTTTGATGCTATATATGAAAATCTTGGTATGAATGGCAATGCTTTTTCTATACTCCCTCAGGTTCTCATTAGAATTTCCAATTAATTGTGGCATAAGAGTTTATTCTAATAAAGGGGTCAATCAGGAAATAAGGGTCAGTTTGAAAGCAATGGTAGTAATGAGTGAAAAAACAGTGAGACAGTGTATTTTTTTTTTAAAATAGTGGGATATTATTAACCCCACCCGCCAAAACCAAAAACTGAACCAATTACAGCATGCAAAATGTAATGAAGAGAGAAGAGACAAAGAAGCAGTGGACTCAGTCTCCGAGTCTGCATTCCGAAACTCGTAGTTGGACCTCTGTCGAGTCCGAGTGAATACGCCGGCGTCCCATCGGCCATGAACAACCCGAAATTCCTCTCTGATGTCGGCCCTGGCTTCATGTTCTCATTGAACAGAGCAAACACATACACATTCATCTCCGAATTCGGCCTCAACGGCGTCCCCTTCTTCTCATCATCAATCATCTTCATCAGATTGCTATTATACTTCTTCGCATTCTCTATATTCGCTCCTTCTTCCTCTTCGTCTCCCTTCGAAGGCCAACCGGTCTCCGAGATCTCCAACGAAACCGTCCCGTACCCTAACGAAGCCATAGCAAAGTACACAGCGTCTATCTGAGCAAACAACATGTTATCGTAGCGAAGATTCGAGATCGGATCTACAATCCCTGAATTAGCCTCAAACAGAACGAAATCGATCGGGAATCGCTTCGGATTAGACTTGTACGCAAGATAAGGATATGCATTGATGAAGATCGGCGATCCGGTTTTGACATGGAAATCCAATATCTGAGCGATTCGTCCGCTGAGATCTCGCCGGAAAGCTCCGGAAGACGGCGGATCTGACGTTTCGAGTATCGCGAGAGTGTGTGCCGTAGTGACACAGATTTGCTTGTCTAGATTTAGGTTCACCAGCGCTGTGTGGATGTTCTGCATCGCCGGGAGGAGATTGTCGATGAGAGAAGTGTCGTTGAATGTCAAAACTATGTTTCCGACTGTGATGCATGTGATTTTAGTGGAAGGCAAGTATGATTGAATGTTGTTCCTCACCCAAGCTTGGGCCTGATCAGGATCACTCATCTTGGCTAAGTACTGGTTTCCTAGTCCTACGATGATTTCGATCCCCGTGTTTGCGAATGCTTTGAGAATTCGTGGATTTTCGCTGTAGAGCTTGAGTTTAGTCGCACCGATGGATCGAACAAGCGGTATTACATTTTCAGGCGAGGGAAGGTTGTTCGCAACTTCACCGTAGTTGATGCCAATGGCGGCGGCAACCATTGCAGGAAACACAAAGCTTGAGATGAAGAGAAAAATGGAAGAACAACTGAATCTGTTGGAGTCCATGGATGAACCGGAACGGTTAGTTCTCAAATGGAGGTTACAGAAGATCCTTAGGAGGTGTTTGGCATGTAGGTTTTTTTTTTTTTATACTAAAATAATTAAAATACCTAATCACATCACGGACTCAACAATACCGTTTAATCTACAAAGAAAGTCGTAAAAAAAAACTTCATCTATTTTTTAATCAAATAACACCGTTTAATCTACAAAGTGCACAGAGCCCAATAGTATCATTTAATTTACAAAGTGAAACGTTATCTATTTTTTAATCGAATAACACCGTGTAATCTATACAGTGGACAGTAAAAAGCCTTATCTATTTTTTAATCAAAGTATGACCATAAAGATCCATGAAAGATTGTTAAAGTAAGGAGAAACTTCTGAAGATGCCAAATTGCCAATGACTTTTCTTTAGACAGCCTACCAAGAAAATGAGAAATTTTAATCAAATGAGTGAGTTTTTACACATTTATGATTAAAAAAAAAGGGATACTTTCTAAATTTAATTCAAATAAAAATTGATTTCCTTCTAATCTAACAAAAAAAAAAATCAATAAGGAAACATAAGATTTTAGAAAATCTAAAACCAAATCCACGTTTAACTAATAAGTTCTCTCTCAAATAGTTAACAAATTGAAGGCTAAAGACCTACACTTTTAAACTTATAAATCTAATCACAGTAATGTGATAAGGGTGTTAAATCTTATATGATTAGATGTGTAATAAATCAAAAATTGATACATATAATACTACATCATATCATTATAAGTATAATTGTAGAAGTTTTTTTTTTTTTTTTTCGGTGGTGAATCTAACATTTTCCAAACAAATTACATAAAAATCAAAACAATGTCGACTAAACATTGAATGAAAACCTAACAAATCCTGGTGTCGCTAACGTTATGTTTGGTTGGGAGATTTGAAAATGAATTAGCCGGTGTTGCTAACGTAGTGTTTGATTGAGAGATTTAAAAAGGATTAGAAAGAGAAAAAAAAAAGATAAGTAAAATATTAATAAAATATACTTACATTTTATATAGTTTCACACATTTTTTTTAAAATTTTTTTTCATAAATTTCTCAACCAAACGCAACAGAAAATTTTTAATGACAATAAGATAAAATAAATTCTCTTCATATTTATTCATATTAAAATAATGGGTAAATGATGGCTCCTCTTTTGAGTGGATTGGGCTTGACTTGAATGTGATGTGGTGGCTGCTTGTATTATTTTAATTGGGAATGAGCTGTTTTAAATGTGCTGATTTCTGCAGTCTCTTCAATTTTTATCAATGCGCATTGACTTGGCTTCACTTTTGTGAATATTTTCAATTTGTTCGTAGCGTTTGATTGAGAGATTTAAAAAGGATTAGAAAGAGAAAAAAAAAAGATAAGTAAAATATTAATAAAATATACTTACATTTTATATAATTTCACACATTTTTTTTAAAATTTTTTTTCATAAATTTCTCAACCAAACGCAACAGAAAATTTTTAATGACAATAAGATAAAATAAATTCTCTTCATATTTATTCATATTAAAATAATGGGTAAATGATGGCTCCTCTTTTGAGTGGATTGGGCTTGACTTGAATGTGATGTGGTGGCTGCTTGTATTATTTTAATTGGGAATGAGCTGTTTTAAATGTGCTGATTTCTGCAGTCTCTTCAATTTTTATCAATGCGCATTGACTTGGCTTCACTTTTGTGAATATTTTCAATTTGTTTAGAAATTGTTTCTACCTTCTACGAGATAAAACCATGTGATATTAATAAGTATTTTTCATTTAATATGCCAAATTAATTTTATAGTTATATAAAAAAAAACACAAGTTAATTTGGACCACACAACCGATTCTGATCTGAGTACATTTTTGGAAATTCTGTGTTTTTTTTTTTTCTTTCTATCTTTATGCATTAATCCATGTGGTAGGAAGGGTGACCACAAATATTGCGTGATCATTTATTTTTATTTTTTTGTAACGGTATTTGTTCTATAACAATGTTTGATAGTCTAAATTTTTATAATTTGAATGTGTCAAAACGAAATCGTTTAAAAATAAAATAATGTCGTTTTAGTACATTCAAACTATTCAAACCACACAAATTTAAACTACTAAGCATTTTTCTTTGTTCTAACACAAATACTCCCATTGCAAAAAAATTTTGCTTTTAGTTTTGATGTTAAACGTGGCAAATTGACGAATTTGAGGCCTATTTTGGAAAGTGAGTTAAAAGTCACTTTTCAGCTTTTAACCCACTTTTTCTCTCACAAAAAAGTCAAAAAATAACTTTTAACTATCTTTTCAAAACACTCCTGACTGAATTTTGATAACTGATACTTGAAAGTTAATCCATAAAATAATTAATAACTAATGTTTCATCTTTAAAATTTTATTTATTAACATATTACAAAAATGAAATTTCATTTTTTTTTATTTATATAATACATAAATATTTATAGGGGGATTTATTAAGAATTTTTTTTAAGTACTTATATTCCAATTACTCCATAACATATTCTTATATTTCAATAAATCCTATTATTAAGATATTTGATCTACCAAGTTTTAATTCTCATATTTAAAATATTTTATAAAAAATTTTACCCTTACAAATATTTTTTGAACACTTAACAATTTGGTAATGTGAACATTCATATTTTATAATGTGACTGTTCGTATTGATGTGTGAACATCACATTGACAGTATAAATGTTTACATCACCAAACATTCACATTGTCAATGTAAATATTATTATTACATATATTTCAATAATTATATCACTCATAAGACTTATTGCAACATAAAAAATAAAAAAAAAAATTCAAACTAAGTAAAATATAAGTAGATAAAAAATAATTTATGAATAAATACCCCGTATTTATATAACTTGAGTATTTACGTGAATAGAAATACAAATATACATATATATATAGCAATGAAAGTGTGGCTAAAAAATATACTTATATGATGAATTACATAAGTAATTTATATATTTTTGCCTTTGTGTCATTTTAATTTTTATAATTTTTTAATTTGCTTAATTTTGATCATGAATTTATAATTTGTCACAATTTAGTCCGATTGATTTCAACTATTAATATTTTTTGATAGAAAATGCACATATAAGCAACATGCTTTATCTTGTATAAGCAAAATTATAAACTTATTTGTTCAACACAGTGAATTACCTCAACAAACTGAGTATTCACTTAAAAAAAAAAAAAAAAAACCATAATCGACATTATTAATTGAATTAAATTAATACAAAATCTAAAATTAAGAGTCAAAATTAAACTAATTAAAATTATAAGGATTAAAATTATATAAAGAACAAAATATAAGGACTACTAATATAATTTATTTAAAATATATATTTATAAAAATACAAAGGTGACAATATATATATATATATATATATATGCAAGTTTAAAGCTTATCTATCAAACATCAAAAAACTCAAAAGAGTTTGAGACTGACTCTTACCAAACAAAATTGTAAGGAGGAAATGGGAAACTATACCTTATTTTCTCTGATACTCTCTTCTTCTCTGCTTTTGTTGTTGTATGGTGTGCTGAGAATTTCTTACTCCATTTGGTGGAAACCCAAACTGTTAGAGAAGCGATTAAAGCGGCAAGGTATCAGAGGCACTCCGTACAAACTGTTGGTTGGGGACATCAAAGAGTTTGTGAGGCAAATTACAGAAATATATATATATAAATAAAAAAAGTGATATGACTCAAATAAATCAATAAACTAATTTGTTTTCATATTTTCAAAATAGGCCAAAAACATGAAAAAATAGTTAAAAATACATTTTAATGAGAGGACTAGCAATTCCATTATATAGTATGCAAATTTAATTTTATGGGATTAGAAGTAAAATGACTATTTGGCCTCTTTTTTAACAAAAACAACGAAGGTACATCCTTTCTTGAAAAATTTTATATAATGAGAACTTTTATTTCATTTTATATATTTAACCATAATAAACTAATATCATTATATTATTACCTAAATAAACACAATCTATCTTATCTCTAACTTAATATTTGTACACTTTTATTTTATAACCGAGTTTCTGAGCCAGTTTAACAGTACACTTAATACTTAGTTCAATTTCACGGTGGCCCAAGCTTTATACTTTTGCTATCTAAATATAATAATAATAATTTATCCAACCTAGTGCCACAAACAAAATTGGGCATTGTGATATAAGAAAATTTCATAGAGAGGAATTTCAGAACAGTTTTCTCCAGCGGAAATGGAAACCAAAGTCCTTCATTTCAGGTAAAAGATACACTGTGAGTTTTATTTATATATTTGATTCTTTATTGGAATATTGTTATATTCATCTGAACCATTAATTTTTGAATTAGATTCACATGGATAGAGCATAGCACAAGAACAATGAAACGCTGTTCAGTTGTTTTACATTGGTTGGTGGTCTCTTGTTGGTTGTTCTTTCCTCTTGGTGTTTCAAGTTTAGCAGACACACTTGGAGTTGGCCAAGAAATGAAAGACTGGGAACATCTAGAGTCTTCAAATGTGCAATTTCAACTAGGGTTCTTCAGCAGTCCCAGTGGATCCACCAATCGGTACTTGGGAATTCTAGCCCAAGAATTTTATTACCCAAATGAAACCTATGAGGTGGTTTGGGTTGCCAATGCTGCCAATCCATTGACAGATAGCTCTGGAGTTCTGAAGATAACCCAAGAGGGAACCCTCATGATCAATGACAGTAGAGGGATCTCCATCACTCTCAACTCTGAAAAATATTTGGGCATGCCTAGTATAAATAATATGAGTGCAAGACTAGATGATTCAGGGAATTTTGTTTTGAGATCATCAGGAGGTAATATTTTATGGCAAAGTTTTGATCATCCATCTAATGTATGGCTACAAGGCATGAAATTGGGTTTGTTTGACCTAAAGAGTGGTAAGCCACAACATCGGTTTCTCACCTCATGGTCAAGCCTTGAGGATCCGGATACGGGGGATTTCACTCTAGGTATTGATGAAAATCAAAACAACACAAAACAACTTGTAGTTTGGAAAAGAGGAGTTGTTTATTGGAGTAGTGGCTTCTGGAATGGATACAATTTTAACTTGCTTTCTGAACATGATTTGTCTTATGATCTCGGTAACTTCTCATTGAATTTCAGTTACTTCTCAAATGAGAATGAGAGTTATTTCACTTATAACAGCTTTTATCAATCCAATATTTGGTTTCGGTTAGATTCTTCTGGGGTACTTTACCTCTGTCACTATTCATCTTGTGACAAAGCAGTAGTAAATTGTAATCCTGACCAAGGAGATACTGTGTCTACTGGGTGTGTAATGCCTAAACCATCCAAATGTATAGATGGAGATGTCTTCAAGGAGACTAGGCAATTAATGAAGCCATATTTGTACTTACCTAATTCGAGCCTGGGTCTTAGTGACTGCAAGGAGATATGTAGGACGAATTGTTCTTGTGAGGCTTATGCTTCTCTTAATCCATCTGATGGGTCAGGTTGTATATTTTATCAAGGTCTTTATGAAGGTCCAAAATATACGTGGAGTAATGCAAGTGTCTTGTACGTTCGGAACAACACTCTTGCAGGAAGTGGTAAGTCTTGCACTAATTCATTGCTTTTACCACTTTTAGATTAATAATACACAAATCAGTTTTATGAAGAAATAATTAAGAATGTTGCTTTGATCTTTCTTATACTAAATTTTGTTCTTTAATTAGTTTTGGCATTGATAATACAACAGTGAATAACAAACCTCTGCATTATGCGAGGAGGAGGAAGTTATGGTTGACCATTGTTGCTTCAACTGCTTCTCTACTAATACTTGCTTCATCCTCCTTACTATGCTATATAAAATGGAGATACCGCTGCTTTAAAGGTACGGTGTCTTTCTCCTATATCAAACTGACAATTATGAAAATTCGAAGCCAATCTCAAAAAAGAATTTACCTTCTTAACACCATATAGGAGGAAGCAACAAAGATGAGATTGTCCAAGGAATGCAACTGTTAATGGATGAATTGAATAATAGTGCAACAAGTATTGATGAATTAAGCAATGTAGGGAAGCTCAAATTAACGGGACAAAAGGATCGTGAGCTACCATTTGTCAGCTTTTCTACCATAGAAATTGCTACAGAGTACTTCTCTGAGAGAAATAAGATTGGTCAGGGTGGCTATGGGCATGTTTATAAGGTAAGTATATATATATATATTTATTTTTTTTCCGCTGGGAATGAAATCTTACTTTTCTGCCTTTCTATCATGCTTTCCACAATTTGCTTTACTTAAATTATGCATTCGTTACAGAAAATGTAAGTGGTGTGAAGAATCAAGATTAATACCATTAATACTATTTTGCCATTTAAGAACCATCTTATATGTTGAGTATATACTTTTCAGTAGAAATCTTGTAGTAAGTTATTTTTTTATGACAAATCTTTCTTATAATAACTATCTAAATCATTGTATTATATTACTTCACATTTTTCATATATATATATATATACATTCTTTGTGTTTTTGAACTACTATGCATCAATTTTGTGCAAAGATTAACAAGTTTAGACTTTCAGGGTATGTTGGTTAATGGGCAAGGAATTGCAGTAAAAAGACTTTCCGGTAGCTCGAGACAAGGATTAGAGGAGTTCAAGAATGAGGTTACATTGATCTCAAGACTACAACACCGCAATCTTGTTAGACTGTTGGGTTATTGCATGCAAAGAGATGAAAGGATATTAATATACGAGTACTTACCGAATAAAAGTTTGAATTTCTTTCTATTTGGTTTGTTACTTTCTTAAGTTCAGCTTATCAAATTTCATTGTGGTTTCTTTCTTGGTCTTCGGTGTTCCTATGCATATTTATTTACTCCATGCAAAATTTGTGGCAGATGTAACAAAACAACATTTATTAGACTGGAAAGTGCGTGTCAGCATCATTGGAGGAATCGCTCAGGGGCTATTGTACCTCCATAACTATTCTAGAGTACGAATTATTCATAGAGATTTGAAAACTAGCAACATTTTATTAGACAAAGACATGAACCCAAAAATATCTGATTTTGGCACTGCTAGAATTTTTGGTGACAATGAAAATCAAGCAAAAACAAAAAGAATTGTTGGGACACTGTAAGTAAGATAGCTCTTTTGAACATATACATATAAAATTGCTTTATACATCTCACATGTAATAGATCTCTACAATAATATAATCTATTGAATGATGGAAACAGTGGTTATATGTCCCCTGAGTATGCTATGGATGGTCTCTTTTCTGTGAAATCTGATGTCTTCAGCTTTGGAGTCATGATGCTAGAGATTATAAGTGGAAAGAGGAACACAGGTTTCTATCTGCCTGATGGTGCTTTAAACTTGTTAGGATATGTAAGTAATTGAAATACGGTCCAATTTTGTATATTCTTTTTGTTTAAATTTATGTACTAACCTAGTACAATATTTTATGAACTTTTTAGGCATGGAACCTGTGGAAAGAAGCAAAGGGTTTGGAGCTAGTAGGTCAAGGATTAGTTGAAACATGTTCCATAAGAGAGGCTATGCGCTACATTCAAGTTGGTCTCTTATGCGTTCAAGAAATTGCAGCTGACAGACCAAACATGTTAGATGTTGTGTCTATGCTTACTAGTGAAACAATTGTTTTACCTTTTCCTAACAAACCTGCCTTCTCTAAAATCATGGGTATAACAGACACAAGTATGATTAGAATTCTTGAACATTGCTCCATAAATGTTGTCACAAATTCGGAAGTAGAGGTTAGATGATATTTATTTTTGTGGTTTTGGGTCACTTGGTTGATCCTCACTTGGTGTCTCCTTGTGAGACTTGTTTGTTGGTGTCTTTTGGTTGAAATTCTAACTTTATTGAGACTTATTTAGATAGGATTTTGAGTTTAGTGAGAGAACTTGTATTTGGGATTGGTGAATTAGGTGAGCATTTTGTTTTATCACCATTGTAACTCTTCTGAACAACAGTTCTCTCTCGATAGTGGATCATTCTTTTTGTTTGTTGACATGGGCTAATATTGAACTACATAATCATTGTCTCTCTTTTGGATTTGTATAAATTGTATGATTCTTCTACTCCATATTCAAAGCCATCAATTATCTTGATATGATTGAATTTTTTTGGAGCCCTCTATACAACTATATCCACTATCCATGTAATATCTATTTTAACTTTGTTATATTATTGTATTCTTTCCTAGTTTAGCATGTACACAATTTTGCATTTATGTTTACATCTTTTAGGCATAGTTTTTTTTTTTTTCAATAAAAAAGGGTAAATTACATTTTGCACCCTTGAAATTTACTAAATCCTAATTTGGTCCTTTTTTCAATTGTAAGCCCTCTCGTCTTCAAACTTTCATTCCTTAATCTACTGATTTGTTCCTTCATATACCTCCCCACGAATAGATAAACACAAATGAAAAACTGAATCATGTCAACAAAATGGAAGTGCCATGCACCTCACAGCTCAGATGTCCAATATATTGGTGATAGAAACGAGAACAGGGTACCTATAAGCAGTTACTACAAATATTATCTGAAATAGTCAAGGGTGCTTGACAATATCTTTGTGATCATTTTGATGGAGGGGATGAAGAAAGTGGAGAATACAAACTTGCATTTCCCAGTCAAAAGATGGATTCCTTTGTTGTCTCTCATTTGTCATTGAAACAAATACAAGAAAAGAATCATATTAAAACTGCTCATAACCCAACCCCTTCCTTTGTAGATCTGTGTATTGTAAGTGATCTAAAGTTGCCCGGAGTGAGCCCCTAATAGAGATCAATTCCATATACTTTCAAATTGCAATGTGAACCTCCATAAGCTAGTTTTTACCCGAGATAAGGGAAAATGCATAGTGACGCTCAATGTTGGCAAAAAAGTTCACATGGTCAGATTCACAGGAGGCAGGGAGATGGAGTATGTCTTGATAGATTTTTGCTCCATCCAGAGTGGAATTGGGAAGATTTAAATTCAAACAGTGGGGATTGAGATGGGCATTGTCAGATCATTGCATCATTCTATTGAAGGAAGATAAGAGGGACTGGGGTCCAAGAACTTTTAGGTTCTTAAATGTCTGGGCCTCGCATCCTGATTTTCTTTAGTTGGTAGAAAAATCAGAGTCTGAGAATGCAGTTGTAGGTTGGGCTGGATTTAAGTTGTTGAATAAGGTTAACATAAAATTGAAGGATTGGAAACAAGAATGTATTTGGTGATGTAAAGGAAAAATTAAGAATTGTTGAAGATCAGATTCATCTTCTTGATCTGGACGCTGAGCTATGGAGATTGTGCCAGTTGATTGAAAGGCTGTGGCTTCAAAAGTCTCGTCTTAACTGGAATTTCAAGGGTGATTCAAACACTAGGTTTTTTCATAAGGTTGCAAGTTGTAGATAAAGAAGAAGAAACTTGTTGAACTCAATTTCTGTTAATTGCTTGACAGTTGAAGAACCTGATATGATCAAGAGTGAAGTAATGAAACACTTTCAGTCAGTTTTTTCTGAAAGTTGGGAATTTAGACCAACACTTGCAGGCCCTTTTGAAGTCTTTCTGAGTGAGGAGGAGAGCTGAAAGCTGGTTAGTGATTTCAGCGACCAAGAATTGCTTCAAGCTATTAGGAGCTGTGATGGGAATAAAGCACCCGGGCCAGATGGTTTTAATTTGTTTGAGTATTAGGAAGTGTTGCAAAATTATGAAATTTTTTAAAGGGTTTCACATGAATGGAAGGTTAGTAAAGGGGTTAAACTCTTTGTTTATTGTTCTTTTACCTAAAATGACAATCCAGTGGGTTTGGGGTTGGGGGTGTTTCGACCTATTAGTTTGATTGGATGCCGGTATAAGGTTTTGGCAAATCGTCTCAACCAAGTGATGCCAAGACTAATTGGCAATGTAGAGTCCACCTTTGTCGATGGGAGAATTATTCAAGATGGAGTACTAATCGCCAATGAGGTGGATTTCTGGAGAAAAAAATGGGAAAAAATAGAATTGTTTTGAAGTTGGACTTCAAGAAAGGCATATGATTTAGTCAAATGGAATTTTTTTATTTTCTTCATTGCATAACTTTGGGTTTGTGGTTTGAATGGATTAGAGAGTGTGTATCCATTGTTGCCGTTTCAGTGTTGGTAAATGTTTCCCCAACTAAGGAAATTAAGATGTATAAAGGGTTGAGACAGAGTAAGGATTGAATGTTCTATTTAATAGAGCTAAACAATTGGGGCTACACTCAATTATTGTTATTCTTCAAGAGATTTGATTTTTGCCAATTCAAAACTCAAATGATTCTTGGATATGACATTTTCACCTTTTCTTATATTTCTTGTAAACTTCTAGGTACTGTTCAAGTCAAGACTTTGTTGAAAGTTTATCATGCCTGTAAAGATCACTCATCCACTGACCTATATACAATAATCAAGTTAGCCATATGTGTGTGGGCTATCAAATAACCCATTTAAGCACTAACTTCATTTTTAATTTTTATTTTTCAACAGGGATGCACATAGTCAAAGCAAAGCAATAATGTGTTATCATCAAAACCATCAAATTTGTGGACTTAACATGGTTTCATAAATAAAAAAAAATTTAATTAAAATTTTTTTTTGAAAAAAAAGTCCAAGAAAATGACGGGGGAAAAATTCTCTCCTGCCTTTACAATCAACTTATGATGGGAATTTCTTGCAAATCTCATTTATGCCAATGCATAACACTCTGTCATTTAAAAAGGTAATTCCAAAGCGTTAATTCTATGTTTGGTTCACTCGAATGAAAGTCAAATAATTTTTTTTTGGTAAACCAAATATGAGAATGAACATAATGATGCAATCTATCATTTCATTTAAATTTCATTCCAACAAACCAAACACCAATTAGCAAGCCTCAACCAAAAGGACTCAACAATAATCAATCGAACACCTAATGGGCATTTAGCCATTTGGTGAAGGCAACAATGACATAGCAACGATATTTCTCACATTGACGCATTTCATTGAACATCTAATGGGTATTCACGTTCTTCAACAAACATTTAATCAAAAAAAAACAAGGTTGGATTGTACCTGGGAATTCTTGTTCAGCATCTAGGGTTGCAATTTATGGAGTGATAGGTTGTGTTACCTCCAACAATTTCCATCTCGCTCAACCCAAGCTGTCAGTTCCTCCGCCACTGCCCACCAAGTCTATGAGTTTGGATGCCTAATCAGATATTATATTACTCCAAAATGGACTAATTTATCCCATTATTTAACGGGTTTGGATTTGGGGTTTACTCTTTCTTTTTTTCTTTTTTCTGTTTTCCAATTTTTTTTGTTGGCTTATTTTTGTCTGAAATTTTTAAAAATTTTAAAATTTTCAATTCTACTTGATGAGACTAACATAAAAATTTTAAAATAAGAAAAAAAAATTAGAAAAGGCAAAAATAAGTAAAGAATAGTAAATTATTTTGAGTTTGTTTTTGCTTTTTCAATTTATTTTTTTTAACTTTTAGATTTGACATGGATAGGCCCACAAGGCACACGGCCCACGGTAAACCACCCCGAACCCAGTGCTTGGGGCCAATGGCACAACCCGGTTGCTTGGGTGACAAGGCCCAGAAGAGAGGAGACGACCAAGCGTGGGAAACAGGAGAGCAGACCACCGACCAACTTGGGTGTTCGCCGACGACTGACTTAGGTAACCTGCGACAGTGAAACATCTTCTCCGACGACAACCACCTATGTTCGAAATCCCTATCGCCGTGCATAGGAGATTAGGTAAGTTCGTTTTCTGATTTTTTTTTGCATTTGTGATAGGTGCAAATCTATTGATTTTTGTGATGCATTTGAGATGTCTGCAATGGTCTGGGTTTGTTTTTTTTTCGTTGGTTGTATGGCCAATGTTTTGGTAGTGATGCATTCTAGGTGTTTGATGAAAGTCCACATAGAGAAATTGTAATTTTCTTAATGAAAATAGTAAATTCTGATGCATTCATGTATGAAGTGGGCATTCCAGGTTTTTGCAGCATTGACACAAACTCTAAATCATTTTAATGAAAATAGTAAGTTCTGATGGTTTGCAATTTTCTTAATGAAAATAGTAAATTCTAAGGAAAATGATTTAGAGTAAATTTTGATGCATTCTAAGGAAAATGGAAATAGTAAATTCTGAATGGAACATTTTTTTTTTTTAGTTTATTAGAACTACTTTGATGACTTTGGTTTGTAAACAATGGATGGTTTGTGAGAATGGATGGATGGTTTATCTGATGACTTTTTTTAGTTTATTTGATGACTTTGAATTCAATGTAATTGAATTTTGTTTGTGTCCATGCTGCATTTTTTTTGTTGAAGTCAATGCTGCTGCTACATTTTATTAGAACTACTTTGATGACTTTGGTTTGACTTCTGTTTGTTGCTGCTGCATTTGTGTTGTTGCTATTGGTGTGTCAATGTTGAACAAAATTCATCTGCTGCTGGTTGAACCCAATGTTGCTGCTGTTGCATTTTGTAGATGAATTTTGTGCAGCAGCAGCAACAGCTGGTTGAACTCTACTATTTTCAATCCCATAAATTTTAATCATCTATTTTCAATCTGTTGAGACTTTATTTTGATTTTGAATTTGTTTTTGTTTTTTGTAGCTTTGAGTCGGTTGGAGTTACGAATTTCACGCTCTATAAGAAGCTCAAGATGGAGAATGATGCTGCCATTGATGACGAAAAGCAGAGGATTGACAGGAATGGGAATGGAGAAGTTCTGTTTGTGGCTTTAATTGTAACTATTTTTTTTTTTTTTTCAATCTTTTCAGGCTTTAATTGTAACCATTTTTTTTTCCTTTGCAATAAAATAGAGAAGTTCTGTTTTTATTGGTTGTGTTTATCAATTTTGAATTTTATTTGTTCTTATATTTCTTTGTAATGGCTTTGCTGGAGAATTGGCTATTATACTAATAGCTGTTCATGGTGAAATTGCAATGGAAATTAAGTTCTAGAATGTATTGTTTCTTTCTGGATGTTCATGAATGGATGATTTTTTTTTTTTTTTTTTTTTACACTATAGAATGAAATGAAAGTAAAAAATATCTTATCAAGTATAGTGCTCATATAAAAGGTTTTATTTTGGTAGACAAAAACAAGGGGTTCTAAAGGACACCAAAATATGATCATTAGGGATCTATTAAACAAATCTCATAAAAATTATTATTCTGATATAATTAATAAAAAATGAAAAAATTTCACACAAAAAATAGTTTGAATCTAGAAAGATAAAAAAAAAAAAATTATTAAGACAGAAAAACAAAGCTACAAATAGTATTTCCTTTATTGTTCACATTTAAAACTTAACCGAAATCACAAAATAATTAAAACAAGACAAATTTTGGTGGTTGCAGTCGTGTACGGAACCGGAACGCCATCCAATTGGCCGCAATGTCATCTATTAATCCTTATTCAATTAGTATGACCAATCATGGAACCTCGCTAGCCTTAAAGAAAGCTTGCCACTGTCCAATGAAAAATCAATGGCACCTCATCATACTAATCAAAGCTCAGAAAAAGCAACATGGGATCTTCTCATACACTACCAATCAATTTACAGTAAGATTCTGATCTTTTTTATTGAATTGGATAGCCATTTCATAACAAATAGCACTCATATAATGATAACTTGCCATTCATAAGCACTGGAACTTTTAAAGCAGCCATTCATGCCAAGAGCATCCCTTATAACTAATGAGCATCCATGTATGCCAGACATTTTGGCTCAAATGATGTTGAACAGATATATTGAAAGACCAAAACAAGCCTAAAACTGTTGAAAAACAGCTCCAGAACAAGTCCAGCAGCAACATAAAAAAATTGAATCTACAATGACAACATGTACCTGTGACAACATATATCCACAATCCATGAGAACACGACATTCAATTCATGACAACATTGAAGAGATAACATATATACTTGATCCATCATGTCCAGTACATCCATAGGTACATCCATAATTACATCATGTCCAGTACATCGATAATTACATCCATAAAATTCCCCAAAACCTAAATGTTTAACTAGTTTACATTATAAAGTACAAAATGACGTAGAATACAATCACATAAATCATCGCCTTGAAATTCTTTTCCATCCTTCGAAGCCTTCCACCATGGTCATGAATTTCAAGTGTCCATCTCCAAAGAAGAAGCTATTTTAATCTGCATAAACAATGAGAATGTAATATATATGTACAAAACATCCTTCGAAGCCTTCTTCTATGAATAATGAATCAGTGCCAAAGTACTTTCAATGGACAACAAAAACCACATATATCTCATCTTTACAACTTGCTATTATAATTTTTTAGGACATGGAAAAATTATTTAGGTGAATTCTGTGATGGTTATCTAGGGAATAGGTTGCTGGATGGTGTTGGTTGTAGCAAGGGAATATGCTGAAATGGACATTCTATTGTTGAGGTCTTAGAACTGATTTGGTGAAAGCATGTGAAATTTCTCCCAATTTATTGCCTCCAAGTACAAAGATTTTTGGGGCTGGTTCTTACTCATATTTGGCTCTGTTTTCTTTGTGGGTTTCTTCTATGCTGCAATTACTTGGTAACGTTGAGTCCTGTTTTAAACCTAATTGGAAGCTTTAGTGATTTATAGCTTTATCTAACAAAACAACTTCACTTGCTTAATGCTTGGATATTAGATAGTCTATAAAATTGTATCAAATGGATTGCCTATAAAATCTTTTACCTGTTCAACACTGCCCAGACATTGTATCAAATGGACAGTGTTGAAAATTTTATTCATGTTCAACAGAAAATTTCACCAACAAACTAATATGTAGCAGCGAAAATCATCAAATTTTTTCATTCAAACAGCAGAACATATATACATACAATACGTCAGCGAGTTAGGAAAAAGGGAAAAACATGAAACCCCAATTTCTTGAATCTTCAAACCCTAGTTTTGTGATGTCGAGTTTACCTGAGATTCGTTTTCAATTGGTCGGTAATCCAACGTATTACAAGTTTCTGGCACTGAGAGGAGTTAGATCAATGTAGTTGAACGAGAGGAGCATGAGATGAGAGGAGTATCCCGCTGACCACCAAGTCGGAGGAGAATGATGAGAGTACGAGAACTTTCCGCTGTGGAGTCGGATGAGGTTGTCGAATGGACTCGGATGTCCGCGTCGAAGAGGTAGTCGGATAGTTGGATGAGGAAGCGATGACAAGGTTTCAGGTGGAGAGGAGAGGAGTGAGGGGATGAGAGGGATAGGGCTTTAGGTAGAGAAGGAGAAAGTTTGAGCTTAAACTTGGGATCTGAAGGACAGAGATAGAGAAGTAGCGCGTGACTTCAACGTTTCGAGCCATTTCGAGCCAGTATATTCGAGCTCTAAATCATTTTCCAAAAAAATAGATTATTTTGAGTTTGTTTTTGCTTTTTCAATTTATTTTTTTTAACTTTTAGATTTATGTACACAAGATGGATAAGAAAAGTTAAAAAAAATTGACATAACTTCGAAACAAAAGTCACTAAAAAATTAGCTGTTTTTCTTTATTTCCAAGCAATTGAGAGTTGGCCATTCAACTTGAGAAAGTCTTTGGAGTTGGTGACCCATTTTGAGGCTAACATCCAAATCGTTCACAGATTCGTTAGCTAGAATATTTATACAAGATATCAAGATACTTATATATTTGAATTCTTTTTTTAAAATAGACAACAATTATAATTTTAAGAATATCATCTTAATTTTTTTCATAAATATTTTACTAAATGAATTCTAGAAAATGAATGGTTCAGGTCACTAAGATAGGCTTCAAAATGACTTATTAAATCTAAATACTCTCTCAAATTGAGATAATTCAAACTATTACATAAGATTTAGATAGTTATATATGAGCAAATTTGAATATACTCTAATCTTTTTTTAAGATCCATATTTAAATGGGGTATTTTTTTTAAGGTCCCTGATATTATGATTTTATAGTATAAAGGACATCAAATATTTTCATGATATCTAAGGTCCCTTAACAGGATCCAGAGAAATTTCAGTCCCAGAGAAATTCTCTCCAGAGAAAATTGAAATCCAGAGAAATTTCAGTCCCAGAGAAATTCTCTCCAGAGAAAATTGAAATCCAGAGAAATTTCAGTTCCAAAAAAATTCTCTCCAGAGAAAATTGAAATTTCTCTGAGTATCAAATAAATCCAGAGAAAATGTGGAAAGGAAATTTGTATGGCTATCCAGGAAATTTCTTTGACTTCGCAAATTTCTCTGGCTCTATTAACTACAATTAAACCCATGTCTAACAAACCCACAAACCCACAAATTTCTCTGGTTCAAAATCAGAGAAATTCTCTTCAAACCAGACAAACTAGAGAAATTCTCTCTATTTACAGTAAAGTTTGGTGATTGAGTTCAAAAACCAGAGAATTTCTCTGGTTTCAACTCAGAGAAAATTCAGTTAAAAAATCAAAGAATTTCTCTAGTTTCAACCAGAAGATCACTTTTCTCATTAATCTACACTTGGCTTCAATTTCTATTTTTGTGAACTTAAGAATATAGGATTCAGATCCTCCAGTACAACAGCACACCAACATTTCAATAGTCAATGTATTGCTTTTTGTCAAAACATAATTGGAAATACTAAAAGAGAACAAATACACAGAACTGTACGTGTAACTTGGAACAAAGTAGAACCACACCAAGTACTTGACTCCATACGGGTATCCATCTTTATTGGAAGTTCATCAAACAAAATAATTACTGTGTTAGATATAAACTGTAATCTTCAACAAAGACGACTTCACCTAGAAGAATCTTTAGAAGTGAACTTAAGTGAAATACTATTGACGCAACCAGTACCGATCAAAAATATCATAGAGTATAACCCAGCGCCGTCGGAAGCGAACCTGGATCAACGCTGCACCAAAACACATGTCCGGAGCCGACAAAGTAGCTCGATGTCGCGGATCTTCAGTCCGGCGTAGGAGATGAAGATGAGCGCCTGGATCACGAGGGCTTCGGAGACGAAGATGTATGCGATTGCGATGAGAGGAAAGGAGAGAAGGAGAACGAGGCCGGGAATCTCCACTGGGTAAAGCTTTGGGAAGTATTGGAAGATGAGGAGGACTGAGAGTCGGGTTGTTGGGGATGGCAGTGGGTCATTTTTGTGAACTTAAGAATATAGGATTCAGATCCTCCAGTACAACAGCACATCAACATTTCAATAGTCAATGTATTGCTTTTTGTCAAAACATAATTGGAAATGCTAAAAGAGAACAAATACACAGAACTGTACGTGTAACTTGGAACAAAGTAGAACCACACCAAGTACTTGACTCCATACGGGTATCCATCTTTATTGGAAGTTCATCAAACAAAATAATTACTGTGTTAGATATAAACTGTAATCTTCAACAAAGACGACTTCACCTAGAAGAATCTTTAGAAGTGAACTTAAGTGAAATACTATTGACGCAACCAGTACCGATCAAAAATATCATAGAGTATAACCCAGCGCCGTCGGAAGCGAACTTGGATCAACGCTACACCAAAACACATGTCCGAAGCCGACAAAGTAGCTCGATGTCGCGGATCTTCAGTCCGGCGTAGGAGATGAAGATGAGCGCCTGGATCACGAGGGCTTCGGAGACGAAGATGTATGCGATTGCGATGAGAGGAAAGGAGAGAAGGAGAACGAGGCCGGGAATCTCCACTGGGTAAAGCTTTGGGAAGTATTGGAAGATGAGGAGGACTGAGAGTCGGGTTGTTGGGGATGGCAGTGGGTCAGATGATGAAGATAATATAAAGGACTGAAATTTCTCTGTTGTATGTTTAGGGATCTTAGACATCAAAAAATAATTTTGTGGATCTCTTCCATTATGAAAAGTGGGAGAAGGACCTTAGACCAATTTTTCCTATTTAAATTTGTATCTTTTTTATTTTAATTTTTTTTACAGAATTTTTAATTTTAAAAATTAGAAATTAGGAGAAGTAAGATCGCTATGTAAGAGACAGAATGTTTATCTTTGCGTCAATGTCCATATATGATTGGTGGAAGATGCATATATGTAATTTAATGCACACAATGGGCCAACTCAACTTTTCACAATACCACAAAGGGAAATTCTACTTCAAATAATTAACATTGAAATTGACATTCACGTTTCAAGCCAACTTAGACCAATTCTTTTTTTATTTAATTTACACCATAATTCTAACCATTAAAGACCACTTTGACTCAATTTTGGATGTAGAAATATGTATTTGTAAAGCAATTGAAGAATTTGAACACTCATTTTCACAATGTTTGTGGAATGAGTCCAATCATTCACGTTAATTTTTAATACAATGCTGACACATGAAATAAAAAATATAATATGGTATCAAAATATAATAAATACAATATTAATTCTATTTACATAATAGTGGGATAAAATTGTGCATATTGACCATTTTCAAATCCTGCAATAGGATCTAGCATTAATGTTGTCTGCTAAACATTTTTGCGTCTTCAATGGTGTAAATATTGTGCTAGACAAAGACCCATCATATAATGTTTTTGGAAAATGAAGACATTATTGTAAGTTGCGAAGAATTTTCTCCCAACAATGATGCATTTCTTACTCCACTAATCTTTTTTAACTCTCCCTTCCGACTAGGGATGGTATCCTGTGGGTATTCATGGAGACTCAACTCAAATACATGGGGTTTTTTTCTTTTTTTCTTATCCATTGGGTAGGGTAAGTGATATTATTTAAATATTCACAGGGGATGGGTTGGGGATGGGTACCCACTATTTTCCCTATATGTTTTTTTTTTTTAAAGATTCCCCATATGTTTTTTTTTTTTAAAGATTCACAACCAAAACTAAATATACATTTAATCTTTTTTCTTTTATTTATTTATTTATTTTTTCAGGTTGAAACTTTTTTTTTTTTTTTTTTAAGATCCACAACTAAAGCTAAATATGCATCAAATCTTTTTATTTTTTATTTTTTTTTTATTTTTTAAGGTTCACAACTATTTTTTTTTTAATTTTTAAGATTCACAACCAAAGCTAAATATATATTCAATCTTTTTTCTTTTGTTTTTTTTTTAAATTTATTTTTAAGGTTCGCAACCATTTTTTTTTTTTAAGATTCACAACCAAAACTAAATATACATTCAATCTTATTTTATTTTATTTGGCTCAACAATAAAATCAAATACACATTAATTAAAATTGTCACACTATTCTTGTCAAATTTTATGCATATCTAGAATTTTTTAAATTTATTTAAAAAAATTAAGGACACTGTCTAATGCAGGTTTCGGTTTGCTTTTCTATGTTATTTTATTTTGTTATGTATTGTAATTTTCAGAATGGTTTGCTTATTCTGAAATTTCAATTAACGAGTATGAATCTATTTGTTTTATGTTATCACACAATTTATACAACATATATATATATATATATATGAATGTATTTGAAAATAAGGAAATTGTAGACAATCAAAACAAACATGAGTCGTGATTAGTTAGAAAGGATGGGTGCAAAGATTTATTTGCTGGAAAAACAAAAAAGAGATACAAAGTCTTACTAAATAATTTTTTTTTAAAATAAAAGAATTTTTCTTAGTTACGAACAGATTTAACTGAAATCAGCTTGTTTTCCAATGCTATGCTTCATTTATTTAGATAGAAAATATTTTTTAATGAAAAATATTTTTTATAAAAAAAATTAAAATATATTTTTTTATATTTGGTGGTGGTGGTGATGAAACGAATGTGAAAGTAGAGATTGTGACATATTGGTGGGGGTGATGGTGGCAGTGATGATGGTAATGGCTATGGTGATGGTAGTGTGATAGTGAATGTGAGAATAGTGGTGATGGCGTTGTAAAATTAGTAAAAATTTAATTGAAAAAATATTTTTTGTTTTTTAAAAGTAACAAACAACAAAATTCGTGAAGGACTAAAGGAAGAAGATGGAGGATGGATTGGGTGTGATAAGGCATAGATATCTTAAAATGAGTGGTTCAGATTTGCTAAAACGTATAATTAGATTTTGGATAAATTAAAATGAATGGTTCAAATTTGCTAAGAGAAAGATGGTTTAATGTCTAAAATGTCTGTGGCTAAGAGATCAACAAACAATTCCTTGTTTATGCCCGGATGCAATTTAATATAGATCTTATAACACTTTTTTCAAACAGATTCTTTCACATTTTATTTCTTCAAACAGGCTCTTATAACATTGTAATCAGGTTCTTATGACATGTAGGGGAGAGACTGAGAGTGTGAGAGAGAGAGATGGTTGTAATTTTTTTTTTAATCTTCCACGTTCTTCCACATTTTTTTTTCAA